AGGTAGATACTATCTTCCCATTAAGAAAAAATACAATAAAAAGATTAATATAATCTGGCATAGAATATGTTTTTCTTCAATTGTGAGTCTGTGTTTCAACTATAAGTCTGTTTCTCTGCTAGTAAGGACATAGTAAGACCCGAAAGCGAAGCCTCAGGTTTGAAAGATCCCATGCTTTTCATGAATAAAAAATTCCCAGTAGTACCGATCGAAACACATCAGAAACTTAAGTCGTAGTAGCCTCATTACAGGCTTAAAACACTTCACTTCAATCGCTGAGGGAAGTCATCTTTCTCGACCCATTCGATAGAGTTTACTCTGCGATATGTCATTGCGCTCCAATCTTCAGACGCGAAGAGTAGTTGTATTGTACTTCAAAGCGTTTACTCTCTCTTATATGTAGGTAGTATAGAGAAAGTCATATAATGCAGAAAATCAATCAAAAACGTGTGTTTGTTTTTTAGTTTTTCAAAATATTTCTGTCAGTCTGTGGGCGATACTAAAACCCAAATCGTTCACCATTATATCTTTAAAGAATATTCTTCAAAATATTAGTTTTCTCGTAATCTCGAGTTAGATTGAGTTCAGAAAGCGTTGACTGAAGTGTTAATAGTACAGAAGTTTTAAGACTGTACTATGAGAATTTTGCAACTTCCGAACATTCTTAGAGGTTTTATTGTAAATTGAACGACAATAAACGAGGTCTGCTTTCTTTTTAACTTACTGAAAAAATTGGTACTATTTTCGAGAAAATTTAGAAGGTTCCATAGAGTGAAGAAGCACAAAAAATGAAAATTTTTCAAATTAGAAGAATCGACCAAGGAATTTCGGTTTTGTTGAAAATCCTTTTTAGGTACGGTTTAGATGCTAGTTTTGCTTCCGGACAGACTGAGGAACGGAAAATCGTCGAAAAATCGACCCTTTCTCCTGCAGCATTACATAACTTTTTTTTTTTTTTTTTTTGAGGTAGATGAGAGAAAGTAATGATTAAAGATGCGTAAATAAATTAAAAAATGTATTAAAATTTTATTTTACATTTATTTAATACCGAAATTTTATATACATTTTTGTAATGGAATTCAATAAAATTATTAGCAATGTTGGAACAACAGATTTTTTTTCATTTCATTACTAATTTATCATAGCTTTTCATCATATTAATAATTTTCTTCTTTTCTTAATTTTATATTAATTGAACATTTCAAATTAAAAATTTTAAGACAGACCATATATCAATAGAAAAACATACTATATCATTCACAGTAACTTCTTAAGTGAAAAGTTACACAGTAGGGAACAAATAATTACACATTGAAATGTAACTTTTTATAACTGATTTCTTTACATATTCTATGTATTTTGAACTTCTACAAAATAAAATGAATTCTTTAAGAAACCCGTGTCTCATTTTTAGTAAATACTAGCCCTTTAAAAAATTTCTTGACTTTACTGATGTTCAGGGGATGGAGAGCAACCAGAACAATTGCCTGGAGTCACTCAACCTCTGGTGCAGCCATATCCCCCACCAGGACCAGGACTTTATGGAGGTGCAACAGCAGAACGTCTGGTGGGAGAACAAGTGGTCCCCTCAGAAGCCACGTGAGTGTTCTTTCCTACTTTGGTTTCATACTTTAAAGCATTTCTTGAGTTGAAACATGTGAAGTATTACATTGTCAAATGAGAAATGTTTTGCAAAATAATCAATAAAGAAGTGATCTACCTACAAAAGATAATTAAAGTTGATATTGTGTTAATCATTATTCTGGATTATTCAATTAGTGGTCATGGTATAACAATGAAGTAACTGTCATGTTTGATCCATTAAAGACATGTCTAATTTCTTTCTTCAATTTAAAAAAAAGAATTTTAGACAAGAAAAATGTTCATTACAATTGGCACTGAAAGTAAATAATTAAATTAAATTACACAAATGAGAGATTGGTGCAACAAATTTAAGTGAGTTTGAGTAGAAATTATAATATGTATTTTTATTATTTCTTAAGAGGTTTGAGAAAGTTGTAAAAGTATTCATGATCTCTTCCTTGTATTATTTCCAACATCTTATTTATATCGACATCATTATGGGTACTTGCGTGCAAAAATATGAGTGTTGAAATTACACTAGTCATATGATGGGCTTACATTAATGATATACTTATTTTTCAATCTTTAATTAAATCAAAAGCTACTATTCTTACTGTTACATGTTGTCTTAATGTTTCTTCAAATTGTTCTAATGTGACTACAAACTCTCTTATTAATTTATTCAAATTTTATATACAATACATGATCTCCAAATGCCCGTAAGCCAAAACCAATCACACCCCTTATTTGTGTATTGTGTTCTGAATCACAGTGTGTTGCAATTGTGCATTCCACTGAGCTTAGTCTAACCTCAACACCATCTCTATCTCTGTATGCCTCTAATGCTCTGTCACTCTTGAACCTGGTCACCAGGAATATTGCTGTAGCCATGTGTCGCTCACATGTAGACTTGTGTTGGTGCTGGCTCTGTAGAAAGAGGTGAACTGAAGCTTTGTGAACAGTACATTCATTTAAGTAATGATTGAAATACAAAACTTCTAATTTACACGTTTCCTTTAAAATTTGTCAAAATAACCATCTGACACTTAAAATTTGAAATATCTATCATATACTCACATAAAAATTTGTTTAAATTTCATTAATGGTACTTTGTAAATGAATCATAGCACATGAAACAGTTCACGTAAAAATCACTTGCATAGGTGATGAAAACTATTTATAAGCAATTACTTTGATGACTGTGTTGTGAATAATGCTTCAGACGTATTTTTTGGTGTTATTTTATCGAAATTGCTTGATGTGCCATGAATTTTGTAGATCTCTGTGTTTTAGCTAATTTTTCTTATTTTTCTCAGTCTTCAGTCAATTGTTATGTAGCGCACACTCAACCTTAACCTGAAAACCTTCTTCCATTGTGATCTTTTCAGCCATTTCGAAATGTTCTTTGCGTGCGGCTGGTTGTATCTGAGGTACAGTATTTCTCATTTCATGATCAGTCTACGGCTGTCTAACTTCTGGCCACTTCACGCTCTTGTCTCTCCAGCGCACTTTTCACTTTCTCTCACTCACTCTGTTTCTCTCTTTCAGCACTACCCCACTTATCCCCTTTGCCCAGCAACCCTTGGTTGATGAGCACATACACACATTTTGCTTCCCTTACTAGAGCACAGGGCATTTCAGAAACATTAATTCATTTAACACTACTGGAATGAAATCTTGTTTGTTCTGTGTTCCACTAGTGCTCTTTGAATAATGAGAAGCTGAAAAGCATTGCCCTGAGTGTGATATAATATAGCATCACAAAAATTGCATCTTGGGAATCATTATGGAACAAAATATCCGCATGTTCATAAACTTTGTGATCTTAAATGATGAGTTCTTAGGAATAGATTAGATTCTTCAGAGTAAAACTGAAGTAGCTTCATCTTTCACTGAAGTTTAAATGAAACCTTTGTCATAGAATCAGAGCACGCAGCAAGAACCCAAGGGTCTGTGGTTCTTAAACCCAGCATGTTGCTAACACGCCATCAACAGTGGCCTGTGGATGTGCTGATGGTGTGTTTGTTCAACTGGCTCATTGCCTAACAGACTGCCCTTTCTGACAGCTCTACCACACTGGCAGATTTCTGTGTAGCATGTAAAAAATAAGGTTCATTAATATACAGCAACCCAACATACCCACCAGGAGAAATATGTAATGGCTGCAGTTGGAAATTATGCAGTGACGATCAGTGAGATGTTGAGTTATTCATTGCATTGTGCTAGAAATATATTTGCCAAGGTCATGATATTATATTTTCAAATATTTATTCAGGGCTGGAATTTCTATTCTAATTTACTGAATTGGCCTCCATTGCATTAGTAACTGCGTTGTTGCATGTGTTTTTAGGATTAACTTGTTCAAACAACTTTAAGTTGTGGTTTATTACCAAAAGCATGCAATGGTCAATTGTCCTGTATTCAAAAAATATTTTATACCACTAATAGCTGACTATTCTAAGAATGTGAATGTTTTATCAGTACAAAATACACAACAGTCGATTCCAATAAAACATCATTTCACTTTCAAATCATACAACATTTTCCATCATTGGAAATAATACACCTCTTTATCTCTAGTATGCAATTGATGCTTCTTATTTGTGCATCTTCATGTACCTTTACTGAGAAACACTTCCGCACATGAACAATATTTCCTAACTATTGTTTTTTATTCAGTTTTAAATTGGTTCCTTTTCCAAAGTAGAATTGAAATAACAAACTTGAAAAAATATTCAACCATTACTTCAAGTAAAACATTCACATTTCTTACAGGTAACAGACAAGCTATGTTCCTGGCTGGGTGCAGAAGGATTGTGCTGTATTTTGTTAATATATTTCAATTTATCACAGGAAGTATAAAAAGTTGTTTCAGCACCACCACTGTTTTGGGAAGGAGAAAAGCTAAAAATGTACAGTTTACAGTACATAAAATGTTATTCACATTTTATTTTTAATTTAGACAATATTAAGGAGGCACTGTTCTCATATCTTGATATTACTTTAACCTTCACGAAAATATGTGCTAAATTTTATAGAACTATTGATTAGCATAAAAACAGCATAACTGCCAGTGTTTTAATTGCCCAGTTTCCTATCCTTGCTTAGTGGAATCCTATGTGGAATGTATCAGTAAGCATCAAATAGCTATATGTTACATGTATACTGCAGCTTCATCGCTGAAAAATGGTCACCATGCAGCGTCACATGTGGGCGAGGAGTGCGGACAAGAGCTGTGAACTGCAAGATCTTCCTTGAATTTTCGAGAACAGTTGCTAAATTGCCAGACCATCAATGCCAAGGGCCTAAGCCCCCTCAAAGTGAACCGTGCGAAATGGAGCCCTGTCCTATTGTGTGAGTATTTTGACCTCAGCATCTTCACATTTTATTATTGTAATAAATATTAAAGTAAATAAATATTGTTTTCCCACAAAATACTTTCTGAAAAAATGTAGAAGATCTATACTGTATATTTATGAAGTCTCTCTCGTAACTAGGGCACAGTTTAGTCATTTTTAACTCAGCACAATTCTCCCACACGAGCTTAGAAGCTTTGTCTTTCTTTTGAACAACACAAAATTATTGAACCTGAACATCCTTTGCTGAAAGGAGAATTCATTTTCTGATAAGTCAGACCCAAATTTGTCTATCAATTTTTAGAAAACTTAAAATAGAAATATGTAAACACACATGGAATCTGAAGTCGTAGGCTTCCGTGACCAGAGTCATGTGGGTGATCTGGGCTGTCCGGGTGACTCCGCGTCGAAGGCTGAGTTGCCGACGTTTCGACCATACTGTCATGGTCTTCCTCCTACCTCCTACCAGCCCTGAGGAAGACCACAACAGGATGGTCGAAACGTCGGCAACTCAGCCTTCGACGCGGCGTCACCCGGACAGCCCAGATCACACACATGGAATCTTTTTGAAAATAGGTTAGATGCAAGCACTAAAATTATCTCTATACTAATTTTAATGTGCTTGTTCGATGTTGCAACACAATCAGCTTTCAAAAGAATGACAAGGTGATTTTTTAATTTCAAAACTAACTGGAAGAGGAAGCTTTCAAAGAAAGATACTAAGAATAAAACGAAAGAAGTCTTCATTATCTTTTAGATAAAACAAAGCTAAAATATTTGGAAAGAAATACAAACTTTATGTATTGCAGCTACTACAATGAAAAGTCAAATGAAAATAAACACTTAATATTTTCCCCAAAAAATATATTTTTAACAACTGTGTAATAATTATTTTTTAAAAAATCATATGAAATGAAACAAAGTAAATCATATTGTAGAAACTGTAACCGATATATTTTAATTTTGGGTGGTACTTTATGTGAAGTTCCTGGGACATTTTCAAAATTTTTAAAAGAATTTGCCCCATTGATTTTGATTAAATTTTGTTGTTGGATACTATGGATGATGTTTAAAGGAATAGTGCAGATCTCATGTTCGTTGAAAAACCCTGATTTTTTGAAAATTGTAAAAGTTCAAACATTTTTCAGAGTTTTCCTACAACTTTAATATTAAAGATAGATATTTTTTCCCTTAATGGAATCTGTTTTTAAAGATGGATTTTGAAATAAGGTCATGTACATTTTTTTTTTTTAATTTGAGTAATTTTGCATCAAAATATGAGTGAGAAAGTATGTGCTGTTTTAGCACCACAAGTTTAACTTTGTGTTTCATTATGTTAACTTGTGATGATTTAAAACATTGATGAAAAGTACACAATATTAACTTTAAAATGGTACCTGTTTTTAATTCAATTTCTAAATAAATCTTTGAACAAAAAATCTACGGTGAGAATCAGTGATGAATTTGTTGATATTTTTAGTTTTCTTGAATTATATTGTTCTTCAAAGTACCTCTCCATTTTTGATGTGTACTAATTAATTATTATATTTTACAGAAATGATGCACAGAGTATGCAAGGAATAGAAGGAATTAAAGTGTCTGTTGTTAAAGGAATTACACATTCATGGAAGGAAATGGGATTCACTCATTGTAGTGCATCCTGTCTTGGAGGTATGTACCACTTGTTTCTTTTGAAACAAACAAAATTAATTTTAATTCTCAGTGATACATAATATTACTTTGTTCACAGGGGTCCAAGAGTCTCTAATTAATTGTGTGAGAGATAGCGATGGAAAACCAGTAACACCATACTTGTGTGAAAAGGAAACTCGCCCTGAAGTTCTCATAAGAACTTGCAATGATCATCCGTGCCCTCCGCGGTGGAATTTTTCTGATTTTCAGGTACTACTTGTGTAATAATATTTTGTTTTATAATATACCCCATTGTACCTACACATATTAATCATCCTCACTGATAATGAGGTGATCCTTTCTCAGGAACTCAGTAAAAATAATCAAAACTATTATAAATGGAGTGTTCAAGAATTGCAAAATATAAATATTAATTTTAAGCATGAAGTCAGCTCGAATCTAATATTTTATTTGGTAAAATATACAATTGCAATAGAGTGAAACAGGAGGAGATAATATTATAGAGCCCTTTTTGAATTTTCTATGATATGAGTTGGGTAGAAACATCCATGTTGGACAGAAGATAAAACCAATGAAGTGGTGCACTAAAGCATGCAAGATACCTCTTTTTGGTGATTTTGAGCATGATAGTGACGTTATGAGAATATCTAAGTGTCATTGTAGAGAACACTAGTCATTTGAGAATTGGGAAAGGAATAACGTGACGTGTGTATGTTAACAACGAAGACCAAATGCATTATTCACAAGTTCCGTAATTTGCAAAGTGGTGAAGTGACAAGTGTTCGGATAGAGCTGGCAAATCTGAAGTGGAGTTCTGCACAGTACAGATCTTTAAATTTGCCATTCGAAGTTTTCCCTTTTAATTAAAATTATTCCATTCTAGCTGCAATGGCCCCACTGTACCAGGACTCCTTATATGAGAAATAAGAATATGAAGAATGATGTGTAATGATGTTACGTAACCTAAATACAGAGTGATATACAGAATTGAGCTAAATCAAGAGAGCAGTTTTCTGTCTCATTCGCCTTCTTCTCCTAGTCCTTCCTCTCCCCCTTATCTTCTTCTTTTCTTTCCTCTTCCTCTCATTTACCTTTTCCTTCTATATCTCCCTCTTTTCCAACGACTCCATCACTTGTCTGTCTCCTCCATCACTTCCGTCATAGAGTAATGATATGCCTTTAGTCTATGCTTCCGTCTTCGACCCACGTTCTTTCTTTGTCTCTCGCTCTTTCTAGTCTTCACCCCTTTCACCACATTGGTCTCTTTCATCGTCTCCGCCTATTTTTCCGTTTTCTCTTTTTTCCATTTTTCTCCATCTCCTCTGTCTTCGGTATCGTCGTCTTCGCCTTGTTCTTATCCGTCCTCCTTGTTCTTGTCCGTCTTCTCGTTATATCTTCGTTTAAGACTTTTTACTTCCTCAACTACTAATGAAGTAAAGAGAAAGTATTGCTTCTGCGGGAAAATGACGAATTTTCGTCAGAAAAACTCGTTCTATAGGGCCCTGATATCGAAATCGTTTCAATAAAACTGGTTCCTGCGTATAATAAATTGCAAAAATTTGTTTATAAATAGAAACGAGATATATCTACTTTTTCGCTGCCAGGGCCCGGCAAAGAGTTTTTCCTGTCGAAAATTCCCCGTTTTCCGGCGCACGATTACATACCTACTCTTCCTACAATGTAAGGGCGAGAAAAGTGGCCCAGACGGCCCTGAAATTTAGCTGCCTCCCCCTCTTGTTTATAGGAAATTCACGCCAATGGTGGGCTCTTTTCCCTTATTGCACCGCATGTGGGTAATCGAGTCTCTTACGCGGGAACATGGCGAAGGACAGCGCGGACCCGCTTGTGGAATAGAGTCGTATTTATTTCATACTTTTAAGGCGGAGTTGACACTTTGCAATGCGTGTCCAAGTTCATGACAAGGCTCCGACCTTTGTGATTAAGTTAATATGTCCTCGAGTGTGTCCAACGCATTTTATGCTTAAATATTTTAGGTCTGTTGTTTTGCCCATTATTCTGTTGCTACGAGAGGCAATTCCTTTGGAAATACATTTCGCTCAGTAACTGTTTCCCATGCTGATCTAGATGGCCGAGGTGGCTAAGAGAGTGTACTGACTCAGCACTTTGGTCTGAGGGGACATGGGTTCGAGTCCTGCCTTGGGCATGATTGTTTGTCCCTTGTCTGCCATGTATGTGTTGTCGCGGAGAGCCTGCTGATCAGATGAGAGTGCCAGTGTGTTGGGTCTAGTGTATGGTCAAATATGCATCTTGTCAGTCCTAAAGGGTAACCAACCTGCTGCTGGCTGGATAAAAGCCCCAAAATGTTTCCCATAATGTAACCTTGTTACTATGGCACAATTCTATTTTAATATTCAAATTTTTATCACCCCAACTTTGAACATTTGTTACACAAGTACTGTAACAAGGTTTCTTCATAGGAAACATTTACAATACAGAACATCTTTCCAACATAGGCTAATTACCTCTCCGAAATGACGCAAATGAGAAATCTAATTTTGTTGTAGACCTTTTAAGGAGCAGTTACTCAAATACTCTTGAGTATATATCAAAATTTACAGGTTTCATTAACAATAGGCTTGTTGCAAAAATCAATTTAAAGTCAACAAGTTTTCATTTATATCATTTCCATTTTTCATAATTTTAAATGGATTTGTTTCTTTTTCAGACCTGTACTAAGTCATGTGGAATAGGTATTCAGACTCGAGAAGTTACATGCATTCATGAAGTCACTCGAGGAGGTAGTAATACTGTTATTGTTCCTAATAATATGTGCCCTCAACCTCCTCCTCCTGATCGTCAATATTGCAACATTTTGGATTGCCCAGTGCGATGGCATACATCTGAATGGTCTAAGGTACTACATATTGCATTTTGTTTTGAATGATTAACATACTAGTTATTTTTCTTTGTTGACCCCGCTTATGTTGTGTTCTAGTGCTCAAAACCTTGTGGTGGTGGAATTAAAACAAGGCACGTGGAATGTAAACAAGTAATGGCACAAAATCATGTTGTGACTCGACCTGCTGCCAAATGTTCTTCTCAAAAGCCTCCTGACAAAAAGCCTTGTAACACTAAATCTTGCCAATTGGAAACTGATAGACCTCACATTGCAATTTCTAATACAACTTACAAACAGCTTAGTCCCAATAAAAAACGTGTTACCCTTAAAATTGGAGGAAGAGCTGTTATTTATGCAGGCACTCAAGTCAAAATTAAATGTCCTGTAAAAAAATTCAATAGGTAAGACTGGAATTTCAAAAACACAAGAAAGTTTAGAATTCCTATTGACATTGCACTCATAATACCTTGGATATGTAATTCTAAGAATTCCTAATGAAAAAGTAGTTAATATTGTATATTTGAATCATTTTTTAGAACAAAAATTCAATGGACCAAAAATGACTCTTATATTGTGAATAATAAGAAGTACAAGATTTCAAAGAAAGGAGCTCTGCGTATTCAAGATGTGAAGTCTCAAGATGGTGGAAAATACAGTTGCATTGGTATTACAAATTACATTTAAATACTAACAAATATCATTTACCAAATATTATTTTTGCATGTGCACTAACTTTTTATATTTACTTCTAGCTTCATATATTATTTAATTCAAAATTGTGTATGAAAATAGTGGCTGCAATTTTCAACTGTAACAGCAAAACTAATCTTAAAAACATTCTCTTCTTCACAGCTGGTCATTCTAAAGCAGATTTATTCTTGTCAGTCAAGGACAAGTTAGGAGTACTCACCAGCTCAGAAGAAATTGAACGTCAGCACTCACCTAAAGTGCCAGAGCGTCACGATGATGCTAATGTGGAAAACATAGCGTGTAAGTGGATACCCATTGGGTGAGGTCTCTTGGAGTTGCTCTTGGTCTTGTATGCATTGTAATAGGAATGAACCACTTGTAGTTTCTGCATTTAATGAAACTATAATCTAAGTTGCATTCCCAGGCTTAATAGAGAGAGTCTAGGCGTGATTAGAGATGGAATCCCACAGCTATGGCTATGAATGGAAAGCTTTGACAATTAGGCTCTGGAAAAGGTGTATGAAAAGGGTCTGTAGTAGTGATGTTGATAAATTATTATGGTTATGATATTATTCAGCACTGAGGAGAATCAGTTTTTGTGCCAATAAAGTGCTATTGTCTTCCCCATTGTTAGCTGCAGGTCAAGCAATTGGAGTCAGAAAGTGCTCCAGAATGTGCTTCAGCATTCCTGGCAGTTTAGATTTGTTATGTGCTATTTTTTTAGAAGTTAAATATGATGCATATCATTGTGATAAATTCTATCACTGTTTTATAATTTAACTGTTGATCGTGTGAGCTTGTAATTGGCAAAAAGTGACAAGCATTTGTTGCTTTGTCCCTTGTATGTCCCATGCTTACTACGTGCTATAGCAAACATGTATTACATCTGAATGAATAATAAAGTTAGTGACCATTAATGTCACTTCTGTTCATTCCACTACCGTACATTCTGCCCCCTGTATTTTATATGTTCAAATTGCCCTCCAGCATCCAATTCTACTTCTCATCTGAACCCACCTCTTCAATTTGAACTATGCGTCTCCAGGAGAGTTGTTTAATTTTCCTCCATTTCTTTTTATTTCTTCTCTTATTTTGACCGTATATAAGTTAGTATTGCTCTTTCTTGTAAAATAATGTTAAGTTTATAAACCTTCCCTAAACTTATTTATTCTTCAAATTTACAACCATAATTTTCTGAACATATTTTTTGTGCCATAGTTTTGTAGGTTGTTAACAGTATTCTCATTTATATTTTTATTAAATAATTTCTGCCTCATCCAGAGTCCTCTTCATTTTTCTCTTTTTGTAAAAAAATAACACTTCAAAAACTTCACAAAAACTGGAATTCTGTGGCAAACGCTGTTCTAACAACCTACAAAATTGAAAGATAGTGAAGTTAATTAATATTCATTTTTGATGCAAACCAGCTGGGCAGAGCCCTTTCCTGCAGCCAAGTGATGACTTTAGTCATGAGCACAGGCCTGTTGAAGTGAATCCTGCAAAGAAACCCATCCGGAAACAAGTCAATAACCATCTCGGAGACCTGTCAAGAGTATACCAACCCACCACTCCCACACAACAGCCTCCATCTCAGCGCAACCAGGAGGTAAATGTGTACCGTGTGGACACCTGGCCCCACCTCAGCACCACCCACGTGTCTGATCAAGAGCAGGTACTAAGGATTACATCTGTATACTATTGGGAAAAATCAATTGCCAAGGAGAAAGTTCATGGAAGTGTCAGGAGAATTTAAATGTGCAAGCATTTGTTAGTATTGTTATGTACTAAATTTGAAGTTTAGTTTCAATTTTTTTCTCAATTTTACAGTATTAAAAGTACTATCCCATGAAGTTACATATTGAAAAATTTGTTTTAATGAATTCTGTGATAACGCATGATTGATAAAGAGCATATTAAGTGCACGTATTAAAATACATTTCTAAAGACTTCAAACTTTTATGTGAAATCCTTAGTGTCTGTAAAGGATGTACTGATGTGTTTATTGTGAAAGTATATACTTTTGGCATACTGAATTCAACATTTTATTTTAAAATTATCAATTTTTGTTCTCAGATAATATGCAAAACAATATTAAAACAAACACATTGCATTTATCTGCATAATTAATTACAATGTTTGCACATTAAAACATGTATCTTAACAAAATACACTTTCTTCATTCTTAATTGATTAACATCTTAGGATTACCCTTTGCAGAAGCAACAAATAATTAAATACTCACTGAATAAATTAGTACAGATATGTCAAAGGAACAATTTACATTAATGTTCTCTTCCAACATCTAATTCACGCATTCTCAAGTCATAATACTTTGCACTGGTGGTTATCTTTCTTTCATTTTCTTGTTCTTTACTTTCTTTATCTGCTATTTTATCATCCATAAAGTATTTATAAATGATATATGTACTTCACACTGAATGTATGTACCATCAATTGTATGTTTTTATTTAGCAAAGTTAAATGAATGAGTATAATTTTCTATCAATCAAGTTATAATTATTATTAGTCCATCATATCTCCTGCATTAGCAAATTTTGTAAAACACCAAATGTAGTCCATGGTGAGTTTGGTTTTGGCACAAAAATTCAAAATATTCTTGATGAAATAATACTTCAAAACTCAAGCAACAAAGAAGACACGTAACCCCAATAAATCCATATAAAACCCCTTGTAATTAATATAATCAATATTTATATCTTCAAGATCTTCATGAAAAATTATGTATTGAAAAATAAAAAAGATTAAGCAATTTAAGTTACTCAGTAATTGGTAGGGAAGCAATGGTAGAACAAAACATCATTAGGCACTGGTACAAAACATCCTAATCGTATCATTTCTTAAGTTGCTACTATCCAGTATTAGCCTACCTTTTTGAACATTACAAAACAATTAACAAATTTTCAACTTTGAAGCTTACTAATAAAATATATCATTTTTGGAATTTTTAATAATTCATTACAAGTATTATATTTACAAAGATGCAAATAGATTTGTGTTTATAGATTAAAATTCCTTTGCAATTGAAACATTGGAAATGTTTGAAAATAATTTTAAATATACGTTAATATTTCTTCAATAAATTAATAATAATATACATTTTTTTGAATTCTTGCTCTACAAATTTTGTTTTCTTCAGAAATCCAAATTTAGTTGCAAATGTTTATGATGCAGTTAATATTAAAGATTCTGTGAGCACTGTTTTGCTCAATCAAAATATTGATAACACATTTGTGACTTGCAGTTTTTCTTTATTTATTATAATTTTATTAGGGAAAACAAATATTCTGCTGTTGGATCAGTATCCAGTATTAGTATCAAGTATTGTTTGAGGTAATGGGTGTTAATTTAATTGCTGCTAATTTCGTGGTAATTTAATGCAATGGAGAGTAATTGTAATATAAAAACAATACAGATGTTTAAATTTCAGATTAATTTGTAGATATGGCATTATTTTCATTTCACAACAGATTTATTAGTACTTGAAGTTTAGAAGAGCAAGTTTTGCAACATTAGTATCCAGAGACATTTATTGACCCTTGAGTATGTGACACTCTTAATAAGTGTTAGTTTTTTTAAGTGTGTAATTTGATTGATTGATTAGTGATTCCAGTCATGTCAACTGCTAAGGTCATTAGTCCCCTAACTATAGTGCATGTTTTATCACGGGAGGTGGCAGTGATCTTCCTCTACAGGATAGTGAGATTGCATGGGTTTTCCCTAACAAGGTATCAGTGTGGGATCACCCCAACTGGGACAAGCTCTAAACTCCCAACAACTGTGGTAGAGTAATGCATGTGAGAGTAAATTTTTGTAAGTAAGGTGTGAGGATAGGACAAGAAAGAGAAAGGAAAGATTGCGTGCAGTCTGTGGCCCGATGGTTAAAGTACTGCTCTGGCATTGGCATTATGTTGATTGAAGCAACCACAGAAATCTTCCAATCAGAGCAGCCACCCAGAAGAATTCTCCTCAAGGCAGTTGCTGATTTCGGCCTAGCTGTTTACCTACTGTTGAAAATTCTGCCATTGTCGACACCTAGGACCTTCTGGTCAGAGGCACTGCAGTCACATCAGTTGCACCTTTTTTTTATTAAATTTAAATAAACTAGATCCCTATTATAAGAAAACCTGCTTATAAGAGACAATATGGGCTGACCCAAGTTACAAATACAAATTACAGATATTTACTTTTCATGTGAAAGAGTACCCTGCCTAGATTAAACAGAATATTGGATTCAGAGGATTTTTCTTCCCATGAGTAAGAGTCAAAAGTTCAAAAGATTATATTTTATCACACAGCAAGCCAAATAACTTAATGGTTTTACTCTCAAAATACCCTTCACAAAGGCTGTAAAAGAAGAGATTCCGATCTTTGGAAATATCCCTCCACAAATACCCCTGCTTATGACTAAAAGGTGAAAGTTGATTATATTTTCCTTGTATATTCTTCAGTGGGAGGCAGCTAGGTGTGTAATCTGCCAAGAACTCCTTCATGTTAAGTCCTGATCAGTGCGTACTCTGCAGTTTTTGACAGTACAAAAGGCACATCATCTCAGTGATTTGTGTACTTTGCATTGGGCTTTTCACCATTATACAGATTTTGTTCATTATCCTGTTGACAGTGCACATTTGCAGGAAAGTCAAATATCTCAATATTAGATAAATTAGTACAGTAAACATGTAAGATAACTTTTGGGGAAAGTAGAATGAACTTGTATAAGAATTGAACACTTATAAGAGTTCCTACCTATAAGTGACAAAAATGTATATATCCACGTCTCATAAAAGATATTCTACCATATGAAAATTAATTATCCACATGTTTTCATGCTTTTTGGACTTTATTATCTTTTCTTAATATTTACAGAATAAGATTACAATTATAAATAGATAAGTATGTTATAGGAAATGTTTTTAAATGTATAATTATTTAGTGATATGTAATTAATTAATATAAGATAAATTATATTAATATTATGATTTATTAATTTGAACAACTTTATTAACCATTATTAGTGTAATAATAATAATAATAATAATAATAATAATAATAATAATAATAATAATAATAATACTGGAACAATAATTTAATTAATAACAATATGTATTGTTAGTACCAAAATGAAATTTTATCTTAATATTGCAATTAAGAAGTATAAAATTACATGTGTGATTTTATGATTCCAATGTTGTGCCTTTGCAAAAATTCATTGAGCCTCTGCATTACTGTTTAGTCGCAAATGGAAGCATTGAGTAATTAGATTTAACTATCTGGTCTCCATTCTTATGTTATTGTTAAACTGCTGCATTTGCTTTTAGAAAAAGCTGCCAGATGATTATCTGGTACAGTAGGCTGTACATTAACTTAGATTTTCAGTGACAAATATATGTTTGAAAAGAACACGTTTTGCATTATTTAATCATTTTTCTTAGGTTTTGGATATTAGACATTTTCTGGGTTGTTCAGTCATTTATGCATGTTTGAAATAATTGAATTACATGTATGCTCGTTTTAATATTCTTTTAATGCACACTATCCAAGTCATTTTTATTAAATACTTTCAACAATTTTTCCCCACAGTAATATCGTCAGAGAGAAAGAGAATTTCCGACAAAAAACTTTTTTTGAGGTTGAAAGAACTCTTCTTTTGCTGTTGCAATTACATTGTTTACAGATTCATGGATTTAGAATTGAAAAATTTGTTAAATGATTACTACACATAAAATTATTAACTTTGTATTCATTATCATCATATCCATCATGTGTAATTATTAATATTGTAATCATGTATTGATATTAGCAACCTGATAGTTTTTTATATCCTAATTTCCTCTCATACCAATTGTGGTAACATGATAAGTTACAAGTAGGCAAAATAAATTCTGTACTCTAGGAGGTTCAGATTTTAAGCAACAGCCAATTAAGATGTATCAAAGTCACAAATAATTCTTGAGACCAGTGTCTAATTGATCCATTCTGGAATGGATGTCAAAGCTACAGCTAAAGAACAGACTGTAATGGAAACACTCCAATTCCTGAGACTGATCACCTACCTAGAATTCTTTTCCTCATGATTATTATTCAGAGGTTCCTGTCATTAAGGCCCAACCTTATATGGACCACAGGAATAGGATGAAAAAGACATATTAAATACTAAGGTAATTAACAGTTTCAGGCAATGTTTCAAGTTCATTTTAATTTTATTATCATTTCTGTTGATAATGATGAACATGCACTATTCACTCTTTATATTTTATATTTGCTGTAAGAAATACAATAAGATTAATATTTCAATAAATGTTTATAACCATTTTGAGAAAATAGATCAAAAGCCTTCTTCAGTGTGGACTACATTTGGTGAATTAAATGTGTTCCCTCCTTCTATATTTAATGCAGGATAACATTTTCAAATCTTCTTTCTTCCTTCACGACTTGTACTCTCTCTCCCTCTGCAGGAACCTTCTAATATGCCTGCACCAGGCACAGTTGGGCCTCAATATGATGGCTCAGTGTCTGAGTCTCTGCCCCCTAGATTTCACGACCCTTCTGAAGATCCCCCCTCGTCATCTGCAGGCACACGCCCTATGCCCCACTTTCAGCAGCTTCTAGCCAATTTGCAGGTGAGCTTCAAAGATTGTACAAGATATTCCCATACCTGTGTTTTGCACAAACCTGACAAGCACTGAACTTATCAATTGATTAATGGTTGTTTTGTGATGTTCCTTTGTGGAGAATTAGGTATATGTTGCAAATTGCTTGATGATGATTGTTGCAATCTTGAGAATGATAGCAGAATGTATGTGCACAATTTATGTTTGATCAGGAATAGATATTGATCTTTGTTTTTATGTTAAAATTGAAAATACTCTCAAAGGACCTATAAATGTATTTTCTGTCCAATTTCAACTTCCAACATGAAGTTATCTCACGAATGCATGATAGTCTGTTCTTTAAATATCTAAGAAATATCAGTTTGAATTTTGTTAAGTGTTATAATTTGAGAAATGCTTGCATGCTGTTGTTAACCTCAGTGTTACTTTGCATTCTTTGTTTGTTCTTCAGTTAATAACTTGAAACATGTTTATTAGTTTCCTGACTTATTGCACATTCACATTCAATTTTCCTATTTTGAAGACGTTATTTTTATGTGCTCTTTACTCTTATGGATGCTTAAGAATATGTTGTCTGTTGTACATGTATTATTACAAATATTGAATTTATGGAGTGAAACGAAAATAACATGTACGTTTCTGTGTTGTTTTCTTCAGAATTTGTCAATATCACATATTTTCTGATATGCAAGATTTACTCATATGTTTATAAAGATTTACTTTATTCGTTTTCTAAAAATGTTTGTTACATTATACTAAAAAAGAGATTTGAAAATTGCTTTAAAGATTCTGAAGACCAAAATTATTTTCATTTCATTGCTATTTTTATCTTGATAAACTGCCATTTAAGTAATTTTATATTTATCTATTTTCTGATTCTCTTTGAGGATTTAGAATCATTTCTGTAAATGATAGAAAATAAAATTGATTTGCTCACTATTTTATTCCTCTTCTAAAAGCAACATTTTTACCTTTCTATCTTGTGGTTATAATTTCTGATATTACTAAAGTTCATCACAATTCATAGGAAATGATCTTATTATGTAATTTCGTCATACTTTTTTTTAAAAATAATTATCATTGTGAAGTAGTATGAAATTAAAAATGTTAAATCATTTTTGTGTATTTTCATGTAAATGTAGTTATATAACTTGAATGTATAAAAGCAAGATTCACAATAACGAAGAGCACAGAATCTTTGGCCATTTCAGACGTTCAGCAACTCCCGAGGGCATCGCATGGTGTCAGAGACAATGGAACAGGAGCAGCATGGTCTTGATGAGGACAGCAATGATGGTGAGGAAAGCAAAGATCAAAACCATGAAGTAACTGAGGATGGTTTAATTGGACCTGCAGTTGTTTTGGGAAAAGGTATGTTTCAAAATATTAATTCTCAAATAATAGCGATAGTTATTTATTACTGAATATACAGACAAAAATTATCAATGAGAACTCACAGAAGATATTAAAAAACTGTGAAATTGCTTAAAGTATGTCTTTGTGAATAGCTACAGAAAAACTAAAACAATCTCACTTGGATTACCAATTATTGAGTCATGAGATTACCAATAATGAAACTAGTATGGCTACAACATTCTATCCTACCTTCTTGTATTATTGGTAATGGTTATGTAATTCTTTCTATCCTGTTACAAAAAATATAGTAATTGGTTACAAAATATAGTAACTTACATCTAATACAGTATATTTGCCTGTGTTCATTTATTTGTCTCTCACAGTCAGACTTCTTCTGGATCAACGTGTTATTCATTACACCTTGGTCTGCTGGTGAAGAACTTGCCATGTTTCAAACTAATTTTTATTTATTTTGAAATTACATATTTCAATTTTCTTTGCTCTTATCGAGTAGAAAAATTTTTAATTAATATATATAAAAATATTTTTAAAACTGTGTCACAACCCCAAGCTAATATAACAATGTTGCAACTTCTAACCCTAAAATACTAGTCATCATTTCAAAAGCTATTTAATTTTTAAATCTGTGAGTTTGGGGTATAATATACCTTCAAGTGTTGTGCCGGAGACAGATTTCATAAAAGCCAGATCCAGAGCAGTTTTGTGCTGAGCATTACAAACAGCCCAAAGGACCAACGGCTTGTGCGCAGCCTCTTGTTCTCTGCATGCTTCTCGAGTCGTTTATATGAACTTTTAGTAAATTATCCATACATATAGAAATCTAATAAAAATCCTGGCTTAACAGAGATTATTAAGGTTTGTGACCCTTTAATCTTAACCCAATTCAAGCCACTCTTCCTTACAACTTCTCAATTGCAGCCATATTTGAGAAAATCATGATTACATTTTTTTAACTGACACAATTTTACTCCTAACATAAAAGCTGCTCATATTTTGAAAACTTGGCAGATGATAATTGTAAAGATCGAATTTTGAAGAGTAGATTTCAATAAGAAAAATGTCTATTGCCTATTTATGTAGGAGGGAGCCAAAAAAGTTTTATGCTTTTGCAATTTTCAATGTAAGACTTTTTACTGAAATCAGCCCTTCACAATTTCATTAGCAGAGTTTGCAATTCTTCAATCAAAAAATGACAGACTTTTTGAGAAAGTTTGGAAAAAGTCCAGTAGTCTTCATGTGAAGAATGCCTGCCCAAAAATTAAAAAGATCCTTTTCAAATTTGAGTAGCCAAGACATCGAGTAGATTGATTGAGAATTATCCATTTTGCTGAAAATCCTTTGTAGAGTTTAAGGGCTAGTGTTAATCACAGACACAATTTTTTGAGAAAAAAACACATTTTCAAATCTGAGAACCTGCATAACACATATTTGGACTATTTTAATAGTGCTTCAAGGTTAAAATATACTTCATATAGATCAAAGAAAAAATCAATTTTTCAGTATCACGAACCCACAAAATGTGTTTTTCTGTTATCTTGAGATGTTATGTTAGAACTTTCTCTTGCCCTTTTTCATCCCTCCTGTATACATTAACTGCCAATACATCTGTCTCTTAAACTCATTGCATCTTCAGATTAACCTTAAATTTGGAATAGACTTACCATGTGTATTTCATACAGTGTGTTGCTTAATGTCCAAATATGTAATGCCTGTTGCTTTAAATATTAGAAACCTTTCAATGTAAGTTGTTTATTTTAATAGAATTGTAATCTTTTGTTCAATAGGTAGTCCAGAAAATTTGAAATTCACATGGATGATAAGTAATTGGTCTGACTGTTCTCAGACTTGTGGAGGAAGTGGGTTTCAGGTAAAAATACCCCTCTTTTCAATTATTTTCTATAGTAGGATATTTTCACAGTAACATCTTAAAGCCTTAATTTAATAATCAAATGAATTTCAGATGAGGGCAGCTCATTGTATGGTACAGTTGCATAACAATTCTCAAAATGTAGATAGTAACCTATGTGAAGATGCAGGATTGGCACCTCCTCCTACAATACAGAAATGTGGCATAGATGACTGCCCACGCTGGGTATCTGGAACATGGTCATCTTGTGAAGACTCTCGTTGCTTTACATGGAACACAGGTAAAAAAATTTCTGTAATTTGAACTTATTTAAAACCATTAGTGATTTAGCACTTTAAATATATTTAAATTGCATTTTTAAAGATAAGCTTTAGCATTTTATAGCATTATTAAAATTAAAATTTAGCATTTTGTAGTATTTGTTGAGAAAAATATTATTAAGAGAGGTCACTTTGAGATTAAAAAAAATATTTAGATGCTTTTTACATTTTCCCATTATAATCAGGAATTAAGGGAAACTAATTTAATATTTCACTACTTGTGAACTTAATTAACTATTTAAAGAAGCAAATTTTAAATCCGTAGGATGATTCCTGTCTTTTATAGAACTGCAGACTTCTGAATAACATTATTTTAAAGAGAGGAAAAGGATTGTCTTACTATTTGTAAATACTTATAACACAACACGTTTTTGAAAGGTCATGTATTTTGTTAAATGAAATCAATTAGCACGCCGCTCCTTCATTCAACGATGCACCAAACCGCATCAAGTTTGCACGCTCATTGAAGAGTCCCCGTGTTGACATTTCCGTCAGATCACAACTTGTTTGGGAGATTTAGATGAAAATGAAAAATGTTTCAAAGAAATGCAGATTTCACTAACTGAGATAACATAATGAAAGCCTCATGTTCCCGGAATAGTCTTTTGTCTTGCAAACCTCTCTGAACATTTGAGCTTTCTCTTCATGTAGAACTTTCATTGTGAAATGAAACACAACTCCTTGAATATTGCATTTTTCCCATTCATATAGTTCTTTTGGAGAGGAGATGTATTATTTGATATATACATTAAAGAATAACTTAGTTGGGGGTATTTAAGATTTTTTTTTTTATAGTCTAATATAATTTCTAGTCATTGGTTGTTTATGAAAGTACTTACTTATTATATCATATGTTTATGAAAGGTTTTTATTGTATAAATATGAATTATAAAAAATGAAACATTTTGACCAAGTTTTATTTTGCCTTTTTGATGCAAATGCTTTTTTAGAATTATTTCCTATCTTTTTAAATGCATTTTAAAATATTTATATCTCCTTCCCTTGGGTAAAAATAAACATTTAAATCATTTTCAGTTTTAGTACTCCCAATCTATCAGTAAAAAGGCTCAATTTTCTTGTGTAAATTCAATTAGCATGATATATTCTACATCTTAGGAGCTCAAAACCTTGCTTTTCTTACATTTTGCACTAAAAAAAAGATAGGTCTTGGGTGAGAGCCAGGCTCAGATTCTGGAAGCAACACAATCAATCGTGTGGTATTTGACTGACTTTGAACATTGATGTACTTTCAGGAAGGTAAGGAAAGGAAGGATCTGTAAATTCAACTAATTAAACATTATGTAATGTTCATATCTGCCATCTCATTATAAGAAATGAAGCAGCTGCGATGCTTTGTCAGTGGTCACTGTTCATTGTTACTTGTTTCCTGGATTCCCCTGCCCTCCGATATTGTCGATAATAAAGCATAGGTGCAGGATATATTGCGTGAATGCTTTTAACAATGTTTGCCAATTTTCATTTTAATATATTAATATTCACTGTTCTGGACACACTTAGAATTTTCCTGAAAGCGGTCTCTTAAATGAGATAAATAGATAAATTAAGAAAATTGCTATTAAGGCGCTGATCAGTGGGTGAGATGGGGGGAAATTAGGATACTATGTATGAGTTTCAAGATCCATTCCAAGAAAAATTGGTTATCGAGAGGGGTTGTTGTTGGATAGGGATGGCCTTTCAGATAGTTTTTGTTGTATTAAACAACAGTTTTATGATTTTTGAGAAATAATTGTTAGTTAGTAAATTAATACTCATTTCTAATTTCATTCAGCCATGCAAAGAAGAGAGGTTAGCTGCCAACTCACTAATGGTACAGTGGTTGACCTTCAACAATGTAGTGAGGCTGAAAAACCTCCTCAACGGCAGGAATGTTATAATGATAAATGTAAAGGAACATGGAAAGTAGGAGAATGGTCAGAGGTATGCTTCAACTCTGTAATGTTGATATTATATCATTGTATTGATGTGTGTAATGCTTAATAGTTTATGTTTTAAACAGAAGCAGATCATTTTAACACATCTACATTGTATATCTTGCAAACATTTTGTGTTTTAAGCTTTTGATTGGCTAATGCTTCTTAATGGATCATGAATTTGAAAATCTTAATTTAAATAGAATGATTATTTTTATTTAAAATTAAATGTGATCATATTTGTCCAGGAATGTGCACAGGGCACTCACCACATAAGTGTAAATAAAGATTTTCCACATAAATTCATATTGCGAGAACTGATTATTAACAAATTTTGTTGATTTTCATATCTATAGAATTTAGAGTTTTGCATGTCCCAGTGATTAGCAACAAAATATATGTACATTTCAAATTAATATGTAACTGAAAATAATCAGTCACATTTGCAAACATTTCCAATATTGTAGTTGTGAGCGTACACTCTCTTGCATGACTGGCAAGCTCTAAATATTTCAGCATGCAAATAAAATTTTACTATTGACATAGATTTTGCTTTTAGAACAATGCATTTTCAGTACTAAAAGAAGAATGGGCAAAAAAAATTCATTTAAGTAATAGGAGGTTAGATGGACAATTTTAAGATTTTAATTTGAAGTCAGTCTGGTGGAAAATTATTGTATTCATTTTTAAGAAAATAAAACAATTAATATAGTTTTTTTACCAATAAAAGTGTAAATAATTATATTTTTAACTTTCAGTCAGATGGAATGGAGAGCAAAGGCGCAAGAATAATAAAGATCTTTAGACTTTTTTCCAAAGTTCAAATAGGCATAAATATTCAAACATTGATTACAATTTGTCCATTCATTTATTTTATAACTTAGCAGGATGACTATCATCATTACGGGAAGTTAATGTGCTTTAATTTTCAAAGGGCAAATCAAACCCATGACCCTGGATATTAAAACAAATAAACAAAAATATTGTAAAAATTATTATAAAAATCCAAACTAATTCTTCAATTTTGAGCATAAACTACTATGTTATCAATATGGTATATGAATTGAACAGCCTAATTTTGAACTTGTACTTTGCATTTAAAAGTAGTTTTCTTAGATTTGATATTAACAGAAAAGTCTTTGGAAAATATTTTAGTCTAAGAAGTAATACCTAAAATAAATTTTAATTAAAACAGTCACAAGTAAATAATTGTCATATATCCTCCTCCTTCTAGTATTAAATTTCTCTTTAATTGTAATTGCAATTTAGAATGATGGTAACTAATTTGGTTTGGTACTGAGAAATGTAGAAATTATTTCCAATCAAAATAATTCTTACAAATCCTTAAAATAGGACAAATATTATTGTTTTTTAAATCATAATGCATAAGGATGGACAGAAGCCACCTATAAAATTGAATTCAAAATATGAGATATTTTATGGTTGCCCAGTTCTCGGGTGTGAGTGAATTTATGTTGTTATAAATGCTCACTGGAAATGCAATTGACCGAACTGATTAAGTTATTATAGGACTTCTTTCATTCTTTTTATTTAAACTTCATTGCACTATACATAGGTACATAAATGTTACTTTCCCTCTTTTCACTTCTTGTCTTCGTGATGAACATCACTGCATCACATTAACTGTGCAGTTTGCGGTATGTATTTGTAGGATTCAATATTCTTTTTTGGGTGATGTGTGTTGGTATTAAAGACCATATCTAATTACAGAGGTTTGAACAGTGTTGTGATCTACTATATATGCAAAATCATATAATTTTTCTTATAAAGGTAAGAGAATAAGCAATGAATTAAGAAAATGGAAATTACATTTGCTTTATTGACCACGTTTCAAATCCAACCTGTTCGAACTTCTCATGGTCTTAGATTTCATTTCAAGTTTATAGCACTTGTGTTAGAGTTAGTAGTCACTGTTAGTGCACCTGATGTCTAGCTGCATGCCTGTTGCATGTGCTGCAGTGCGCCGCGCCCTGTGAGCAGCCTGGCATCAAGTATCGCATTCTTCAGTGCGTGTGGTATGGCACCAAGAAGCCCGCAGGCAATGCTTGTCGGGATCAGACACGTCCCTTGGTCATGAAGGTTTGCAAAGGCCCACCTTGTGTTCTATGTAAGTGACTTTGTAGTTCTGTCAGAAATGTAATAATTATCCTCACTAAACTTCCAAGACCAAATAATTCTCTTTCTATAATTTCAATAGTCTCTCTCAAAGATAATAATATAATGGAGTAAATAATAAGATAAATAAAACACCAGATAGAAAAGACAGTCATATTGTCATGTTGATTTTACATTTAAAAAAATTAATTCTATTATTACCTGCTATAATTTTGGAGCATGAAATTGAACAGATGTCTAAATTAAAATTAGGTTTGGTGAATTAAAATACGCAAGCCATAATTTTTGTTTCACATCAGAGTTGTTTTTATATTATAACTGTATTTTCCAATGTTATAAAAAATGTTCATTTTTTATCATGCTTTTAAATACCTGAAACTACTGTATGACAAAATCAGATAAGTTGATTCTAAATTTTTCAAAGGTTATATTAAACAAACCCATCTTACACTATTTTTCCCCCCTCTCTCTTTGAATCTCGTAAATATTTCAATACTTAGGTGTACAAATAATATTTTTGTCAATTATTTTTGTTGTTTTAAAATATTAGGAATTAAAATGCCACTTTAAAATGAAACCTAGCATTAGCTAGAACTGTGCTACATATATCTGATATTCTAACAAATCCTCTCAAATTGTAGGTGGCATTGGAATTGATGAAAAGAGGAAAACAAAAATTTCCTCTTGTTCATTTAGAGTCTTTACAATTTATATTATTTATACTATCAAAGTTCAAGAGCTTAAAATTCAAATATTTGGTAATGCCCTAATTTCAAACATTTAAAATCACGAACAAAAATTATAAATGTTTATAACATTGAACATTTTGGTTCTCCTTGTCAAAAAAACCTGATAATACAAAAAACTTATTTCAAATTTGAATACAGGAGACCAAAATGAGGTTAAGACACCTGTTCAATTTTATGTTGCAAAAAAATATTAATTTCACAGGTCTGTGTAATTTTCACCCAACCATTCTCTATCTTTTCTATTTCCAACTATTTATTATAAACTTGCCCTTACTTTTCAAACATATTATTTTTTAGCATACAAATATATGAATCTTCTTCTGTAATTCGAAGTATTTCCTTTATCTATTCAAATACTTCAAGTGAGTGAAAGAATTCAAGGGGATAGAGGATACATGAACGCTTTGTTTGAAACAAAGAGGATACATGAACTGGTGCTTTGCTCAAGAGATTATCAGGGCCTGAATGCTATAGATGGCGTAATAATCATTCCTTACTCGATCTTGATCATGACTCTTCACTTTGGCATGCCTAATATTTTTAATGATGACATCATTCTTATTTTGCTTGTAAAAACTGCATAAATATAACAAAGGATTCAAAAATTAGCTTTCAAAATAGTACTAGAGTTTTCATTAATAGTGATATTTTCATTATTTAACATGTTGTGTCATTCTAAAAATGTTTTCAATTCACTGAAGATTATTGTGTCGGAACATTGACATATACTAATTCCAATTAACAAATTTTGTTCAAATTATTGGGTTGCTTATGCAAATTTTCAGACTTTTTAGATTGCTTTGCTTTGTTACATTTACACTGATTACATTTGTTTTATAAGATAGTGGGGAAGATGGACTTTCAAATACTACAATATTAGTCACCAAAATTCATTTTAAAAATTTGTGCATCTATTAATTTCTTTTTCTTCTCTCTTTTTAGTTTACCATTTTACAGGGGTTATTTATATGTAACTTGTCTTAAATTGTATACAAATATGTTTAGGTTATGAGCAAATGCATGAAAATATGTTTAAGATCATGTTATTGTGCAAATAAATTTTCAAACCCAATTTTTAGTTTAAATAGAATTGAAAGTGTGTTACAATTTCTCACACATTAAATTTCAATGTCTTTCATAACTTTAATAGGAGGAGATGGGAGTTTCCATACAGTTATGATACGAAGCTCAATTTCAAGGTGATTGATTCAATTATTGGAGCACAAATGAACACCAATCCTTTCCCCACTCTTTTGTTATATTGTAACATACAATATTCACTTAGTATAAAATTGTATTTATTTATTTATTTACGTTATATCCTCTCTGTAATAATAGTAACACAGCTTACTGCTGCATTAGAATAGATTGTAAACATTTATATTTTGCTGCACTACATTTCACTGTTAACCACCCATTACACTTTTGCTTCTTGCACATTTCAGACAACTTTTAGTTTTAAGCCAAATAAACCATGAAATACTTTTTATTAGGTGTTTCTGCTTTTCAAATAATAAATAGTTCTATTAATATAAATATATATAACAGATTTACAATTTCTGCAGATCCCACTCAGGTTGTACCTATATACATTATTTTTGTGAAGTTGTCTTAACCTTGTTGACAAAAAAATTCCTATTGTGTTTCAGTGTCAGAGTGTAAGGACCAGTCAAAGTACTGCCACAACGTGAAAGTAATGAATATGTGCAGAGTGCGTCGTTACCAACACCAGTGCTGCCAATCATGTCGTAATAAAGGTTAAATCATTATAAAAATCATATAAACTTCTTTTATATTTATTTATTATCAAAATCATTATGATGAAATTGAAAAGCAATATTTCATTTAAAAATAAGAAAAATAAATGCATGGCAAGCATGAGAAAGCAGTCTTATATAACTGCCCTTTCTTTAACAGATCTGTTGCCATGTAGCTCTCTAAGAGTGATTCTTGTTTTATGTGAATTCTGAATAAAAGGAATGCATCTTCTTACTGTCATAACAGGCATGATTATCATGCTGCAAGAAAGCCTGTATGAGATCTTGCACATTGGCACCAAATCCATTGTCCATATTCACAATATAAAACATGAAATATTACATTCCAGTGTTAAATGTTATACAATCCAGTGAAATGACTGTTGCAATGTGGTTAACTATTTGTCAGGAGCCTGTGAGCTTAGGGGAAACGTAAGAAGACATAAATGTGTTAATTACAAGAAGACTGATGAAGATATAGAAACAAAGCTTCCCTATTCCTGAACTTACAATTTAATGGGTTTTCCCCTTCAATATTAAATGTAAACTTATTTGTTCTGTTGAAAACTGTGCCAACTATTAAGTTCCAAAGTTTCAAGATATAAAAAGAGAAGAGAAAAACCTGAAGTTATGCAGAAGTGATAAACAATTTGAAAAATATAGAATGAACTTGTGAGATAACACAAATGGCAGAAAATAATTTATTGGCACAGGTTGAATTTTGTTGTTTGTAAATAATGTAGGATATAATGTATTGTAGTGTACCTGTAAATACGAATACTATACTATATTTATGACATATTATTGATCCTCTCACACAATTGGATAAAAATTGTCAACAATAATCCTTCAAACATTCTAATGTAATTCATTCCATTTTGTGATTCTTTCATTCAACTCCTTCACTCTATCAGACAGGAGATGATACTAGCCTATTTTTTCCCAATAATTCTTATTAAGCTCAACATGTTGTTTATATTGGTCCCCATTACTTACGCAGAATGACTAACTGAGTTCACATCAAGATACGAAGCTGAAATTCAAATTTTAGAAATTGAAAAGTACTGCTGTGGAAAATACCTTACTCAAACAAGACAAACTGCATTTTAAACAGTGACAATTTTCATATACATTCAGAAAATATTATGCATCTGATGTCATATAATAATGTTCAATTATGTTTTTTAACTTTTTTTATGAACAAAATCTATACTGCTCAAAGTAGAATATTGTAAATTTCATGCTCATTTTCTTTCACAACCTCTTTAATGATGCTGTAGCTCCAATGAATAAGTGCCATGCATTTTTCATCTCTGAACAATTCATAGGAATTGTATAAGGAAGCATGCATTTGTAGAATATTTTGTTTCTTGTAATACTACCTAAATATTTTTCATCAATTGTTGCAATAAGAAGTACCTTTTAATTCATTTTAGCATGGCAATTTAAAAATATTTTGAAGTCTAATTGAAGATACCAATTTTTTGTTTGTAATATTTATTCTGTACTTCATAGATTTCCAAACTTAATATAAAAAGCTTTGAGAAAATAGAATCCATGCATTTATGTATGTACACCAAGGCAGGAATGTCATTATGTATGTGGATGGACATTCAGGAAATCGTATTTATTTTATGTGCATCTTCATCTACATATTGGAAACATCATATCTGGAAGTTAGAATATTCCATCAAACAATTTCTGATGTGATGGCCTAACTATGAGAATGGATGTACATAGGACATATGTCAACATTGTTTTGTATAGCTTTGTTTTGCAATCTTATTATACAAAATTCTTTAGAATGTTATTCTTTAGTTTTGTTATTTGTTTGTGTATTTTATTGTTTTTTATTATCATATGATAAATCATTACCCGACTGTAGAATTTGACCATTAATATTTCAAAAGATATACATATATCTTCATGGGGACTTGTAAATCATAACATACTTCCATCTTAATTCATATTTATAGTTAAAAACACTATTGTTGATCTGTTGTGGATGACTAGCTGTCTTAATTATTTCCAAAGATTGTATGTGGTGTTGATAGACCCTCACAACAGAGTTATCTCCGAACTGAGTACTCCTTGGTTTTGCACATTGAACACATCCTGTGCAAGAGTAGTTGGAAACTGTTGAATTATGTGTATTATGCATTCAAAGAAGTGATGAATAAATGCTTATTTTTATTAAAAGTTCTGTTTAGTCAATCATTTCCCAAAAACAAAACATTGGTGTTATTAAATCATGAAATTTCACCCTTTATCCTGATCCAATTGTATTCTTAATGAGACATAATCCAAAAGAAACTAGAGCTGCTACAACAGCACAAATAATCTCAGAGGACATGTACCATGTATAAATCTACCTTAACCCTGTGCCACGTACACCACTAACTTTTTTCACGTTCCTAGAGTTTAACCAGATTAAAATTAAAAATACCAAAACAGACACACAATATTCAGGTACAGATTAAAAATAAAAAGATTAAATTCACAAACAGTGTTGAAGAGTTTTGTTTAATTCTCATAACGTTATTATAGAAAAACTAATCAAAAAGAAACTTGAAATTATATAAAAATAATTTTCAGGCCTGTCAAAAAGGATAAAAATCAATGATGTAAATGTTAAGTGATGAATAATAATTCATTCTTATCATGCATCATCACTTAAAAGTACTAAATAAATGCATTGTCTTCAGTATACATAGATAAATACTATTTCTTGGAGTACCTGTGCTAAAACATTAGTTTGCTCAATAGTTTCTGATTAACTTCAGTTTATTACCTGGTATTACAAATCAATGGCTTATATTAGAGCAATTTACAAATATTTTTACATGTTTGTAGAAATGTATCAACATTTTTATAAACATATTTTGAGTGATAATTAGTTTGTTTTCTTGTTGGAGGGTATACACCTACGTATATTGTATGTTTTATACTTGCCAATATCATTTGATATCAATTCCAAGAATTGCAAATTTCCATAGTCTTGAAATCGAATCTCTAACTAATTGTTTTTATAATTATTTTTTTATAATGTGAATAGTAATATAGTGGCTTGTAATTTACATTGACTCTCCTATACTTTGCCAACTTCTCTGATGGTTCCTTTCATACTCGCTTCGGAAGTCAGCTATATTTCTTTGTGTTTCTTAAATTTGTCTACAGGAATCAATGTCATGTGCCTTTGTTTGGAGAATGTAGTACAATATTTCAGAGAACGAAAAGATTTTATATAGAATGTTCTCTACAAAAGGCAAAACAAAGTCAGACAAATCGACAAATAACCACTAACAGGAGCCATAACACATTCAACCTCATCTTGGTTTATCAGCACAGAAATGAATACTTTCTGAAGATAACACATACAGTGTTCACAAGTTGCTCTGTATATTTCCATCTAGTTGGGCAAAAATGTGGCAACCTTCTTGCAAAAAATTGTCAAGAAATTTTGATCGTTTCGTCGAGAAGGCGGCAGCAATACTACTCAAATTACTATAGAAAATTGTACGTTCTCTGATGTTATTAACACTACGTGAAAGTACTAAGTTCAAGACATGAGCGTAGCAATGAATATAAACTGTTTTTTTCGGCTTAGGTTTGTGTAATTGCAGTTGTACTGCAGTTCGCACACATTTCGCGTTTTACTGCTACGTGTACGTGGCTAGTGTTGGTTCGCGTCCAACCTTAGTCACTATCCAAATCGGCTTTTGTGTTGCACTACACCCTCAGAATATGAGAGGGGAGTGTGCTTGAGAGGGAGTGCGCTGAAAATGTCAAGTGATTTTGTACCGCCCACTTCAGCGTCAAGTCGATCTGTTTTTGGAGTATTTTGAGTTTGTGGTCTAGGTTCATTATTCTTGCTAAGACGGCATGTGTTATGTCATCAGCATAAAGGAAAAGCCGTATTCGTGAGATGTCATTGACATACGAGAACTGTGGCGGAGAGAGGACGGAGCCCTGAGGGACTCCGGCCGCAATCCACCGCTTTGACGATCTCGCTTTGCCCACATTTACCACGAATGTGCGGTTTGTGAAGAAGGATGTAACCATTTCGGTTACGACTTGTAGAAGGCAGTGCCGAAGTTTGGGGATGAGTGCACTATGTGTTACTTTGTCAAAGGCTTGAACCATGTCGAGATATGTGACAGGTACATTCTGTGTAACAGATCAGCGGAAATCTGCTGAGCCATGCAAAGTGCTTAAAGTGACGCGGAATGGCCCGGTCTGAAGGCAAAATGTTCATCTCGGATGACGTTCCGCGAGAGCGCAGTTGGCAGAATACGCGCGAGTAGAAGCCTCTCAAATACCTTTCCCATAACAGGAAGGAGACTGGTTGGCCTGTGGCTCGCAGCGATCGTGAGATCCAGGCATGGAAGCTGCGCCGTCGTAAGACTGAGCTGTAAGTTTGTTATTTCAGTCAAATACTCTATCATAAGCTCTGCTATGGGCGCTGCGCTTCGGTTTGCAATTACATCACGAAATACGATAAAACTTTATTTTCTTTCACCATCGTAAACATATCGGGATACAACAGAGAATTGAGCGGTGTTGGAAACATCTGTTGTTTCATCGACCAACACAGAGGCAAAATTAGCATTGGCTATTTCAGATTTAATTTCTTGCAACAGCAAATGAGATAGACTACTCTTATGAAAATAAGGTAATGTGAATTTCACTCGTAAGATGTTCTGATTTCATTGAAGAATGGCAACTACGAGATATTTGAATGCACAACGCCTACTTCTCCGGACCTTCTCCACGGACGAGCAGCACGTCTGCCCGCGAGAGCGGCGAAAGAGCAAGTATTAAGACCCATTCACAACGCAAACGTAAACCAGTAGAGCGCATAGACATAAACATTAACGTAAGCGATAGACTGAAGTATTCACAATGCCTAACATAAACGTAAGCAAAATAAGTTCCTATTGGCTGTGAGACTTTCTGGTTAGATGAGAGAATCGATTTCAAGATATCGACTCTATGTCCCATATGGCGGTAGTTCTTCTATCGACTTCACTCCAATTTCGATCCTCGATTTTGAGTTATCTTTCTGTGATTGGTTAATTTCTTATGACTTACTTAAGCATAAGCACAGAAGCTTGCAAGCTTTACTTACTGTTATGCTTATGCGAACGCATTGTGAATGAGTCCGCCTATGGACGAAGTCCTAACGTTTTTGTCAGCGCCGTTTGCATTGTGAATGGGCCTTCAGGCGATAGGCGGCGCGGGTAGGGGCGCAGCCTGCCGTTGCGCAGTAGGCACCGCGCGGCGCGTAGATTGAACGCCTGCCTTTATTTTGACTTCCTCCTTGCGAATTCCTCTAAAATATGTTTTCTGTCAAAAATGTGATTTCTTATATAATGAGATCACATCCAGGTTAATATAGAAGTGAAATTTAGGCAATTTCAATAAGAAAAATGTTTGGCAGCACATATATTTGGAACCAATTTCCCCCATCATGAACCTGGTTACGAGATATCAACGAGTAAAACTCTCGGACAATATGTTAGGGCAATCATGCGATTATTATGGATCATGTTAAATAGAATACAAATGATCATAATCATGATCTTTTTAAGAATATTTTTTTAGCTTTGATAAAACCGTAGTATTCAATTAAACGTAATTAATGAAAAAATAGTTTATTACTGTCAAAACGATTCAATATAACAGTTTTGTATTTAGCACCACATGCGATTACATCATAACAAAGCAAATTACATGATCTACAAGCAACTATAATACTTGGTGTCCAAATAAAATACGTATGTCTAATTCACTTCTATTTGTTATATATCCACAACAAACATTTCCAATATACAAAAAACAGTATTTCTTGAACTGTGTGTAACGTCAGTCATGTTCTCGCCGGTTGCTCTGTCAATTTATGCGCTACGGTTCGAATTGCACATTCTCATTGATGGTCCCCACTCCCCGAATGAGTCTCATTCACTCCCTTCCTCACTGCCTGCATTTGCACACGAGTGGCTCGCGCGAGCCACCTGAGGTCAGTGAAAGTGCAAAAGGCTGTGCAGGCCTGTCTATTAAGACAATAATGAATAAAACGATTAAAGCTACTTGTTGGATTCGATTGTACATAAAATACGTAGTATTTCATTCGACAATTGGTTTCAAATGAAAGAGAATAAGTTCATTTATATGAAGCTAGACAATTAAATCCTGTTATAGTATAGACAGTATTATATATAGTATATTATATATATATATATTATATATAGTATAGACAGTATATAGTCAAATCCTATAGACAATAACGGTTTCATGGTTAACTTTTTTCTTGTTTCTGGTGAGTGGTATTTTTCTTGAAGAATTGGAGATCTTATTATTATTGGAGTCGTCTATAATGTGAACTGATAAACTGCAGAGTTGCTGCGTCCCCGGGTTGTACACTCTGAATTCTCCAGCACATTCCCACAACAAGACCAATGACGACGGCCAGGATGCCCAAGATGTCCATGACCACATCCCATGTAACCTCCTGCCACAAAAAAATAATGATTACCTATATGTTTGAAATTAATGGATCTGCGCCGCCATCAAGAATATTACATATTATGAATATTATATTATTATTATTATTACACATGATTGCTCTAAATGGATCTGCGCCGACATCAGTGCACATTACATATTAAGCATAATATAATACTATTACATATGATTGCGCTAAATGGATTCCAAATTCCATAAGAAATTTGAAAGTTACAACAGAACAAAATTGAAATTCTTATTTCTTCCGAAATCATGAAATCGAATGAATTTGCATGCAGCAACCTTGCAGGTGTTGTGATTTTCAAACAATTTTATCCCATATTATCTATTAGGCATAAGGAAATATATCTTATGTCTGCCAACTCGAAATGGTGTCGACTGGCTCACCTGGCATAGTAGCCCCACATCCACAAGTAGTCTCCTTGTTTCCTCCACTGGAACAAAAGCAGCAGCAATGGTACTGCCCCTGATGAGCCTTTTGAATTCGCACCAATACGGGAAAAGGACTTCCCTGTACAATATGTGAATCACTAGTCAATCATACATTGTAATTTGAAAAACAAAAAATACAAAAACTTCGAACACATGAAACTTAGCAAATTAAGCAAATAAGCAAATTAGAAATTTAAACAGCCTGTCAGTTTTGTTTGACTCCAAGGCACATAATGCATACTTAATCTATAAACATTTAGATACATCTCTTCTATTTTTATAAAAATACATAGCATTTATCTGCAAAGTTATAAAGGGGGAAATAGGGAAAGAGTTAGGAATATGAGATAAAGTAGAAATATGAAATAGAAATGTTTTCGGCTATGTACAGTGTTGACATTTGTCGAGTGACATGAGAACTACGTAGTCATTGTATTCTCTCAACGGCCGGTCACTTCCGCCTTCGAAGTTTCCCGAGGTGAACAATTGCAGTTAGCAGTGCTGTGAAAAGTTTCTGTAGCTCTGCACTGAAGTGCAATTTTCCTCGGCATATCTTGTGATATTCCAACAAATGTAAGAGGTCAGTTGACATTAAAATACTTCAGTTTTTTTAATATCCCTAAGGATATGGAACACAATGCAATGTTCGTTACGATATGTTTGCAAAATCTAAGATGCCCTCGTGGTTGTAATACGAGACACTTCATTGGTAGCATTATGAAACCGTCACGTATTACTACCAGACTGTTTTATTTGAAAAGTTTCTAAAGGTTGTATGGGTAAATTGTGGATTCAGTGTATTTTGTGCAGAATGTGGGTTCACAGTGAGTGTGCTGGTGCAGTCTACATTTGTGACTATTATAAATCCAAGAGATTTGTAAACATATGTTTCTACTTGTAGTATGTAGTGTACGTCAATAAAGCCATTTTGTATCTTTCTGTAACAACTCCAGTTGTTTTGCTCTATAAAACTGTACTATCTCATATTACTGTACTATCTCACTTTTCAGTTACGGTTATTCAGGCATCTTGTAGGTCCCAAACAAAAAGATATCTCATATTCCTACTTCTTCCTCTACTACTTGCTAGAGTTAAGTCATCAAAAAGGGAAAGGAATCGTGAGTGAATGCTTCGAAAACAATTGCGCGAAATCCGAAGCAATAAAATCTATTAATTTTATCCACACTTTTAAAGAATTTTCACTACATTCAAACAATTTTAATATACTTTTTTATAATGTTATTCGAGGCACTGAATTTTGTATGAAGAATTATAGAAAATAGAATCACTGAAACCAGCTCCATGGAGGAATACAATCCTTCGATCTCAATTCTATTCTAGACTTGTTTTTGAAACATGTTTTTCTCATAAAAGCGAATGGTTTGATATTCAAGGCCTCGAGTTTGAATTCTAGCGCGCATTCACAACTCACGTTTAGAATCACAGAACATTCTTCATTAAATTCTAAAATAACTATTTATGAAATAGAGATTCTTCTTGTTTTGATGATTGCGGAGATTTTCCTGCAGCCAAAGGAGTCATTGTACAGTTTTTTAGTTTCTTCTTTGCAACACTTCTCAAAATATGATTACAACATTATCAACAGAAATTCAGCTTGCCTGAATTGGAGTGTTGTGAAGTGTCACGCTGAGAGCAAGGCGTCCAGGCGTTTCTGGCATGAAAGTCAGCAGATAGGTACCATCTCTCTGGTCTGCGACATGAACTGGCACTTTCCTATCCCAGAGTATAATTAGTAAAATTCAGTAAAATCTGCTATGTGACCCTTAAAGTAAAAGAGTTCTAACCACTTCAAGCGAGAAACTATTGCATGCTAGCTTAGAATATCAATACCAGGATTATTAGGATATCAGTACCTAATAATTTTAAGGAAGTTATTGCTCAGCTTCGAAACTTACCTACTGCTCGCATCTCGATGACGCAATTCAGCAGCAATCTTCTCACCTCCATGGCAAAGGGGTTCCCCATCATTATCTCGAGTTTGCAGAACTACTTCCGTTCGCTTGTGAACTCGACAATCCAACAACGCTATTTGCAACACAATATTATGTCATATTAAATATAAATTATATGAAGAAACGAACAATGAAATGAAACTGATATGAAACTGCTGTTAGACGAATACATTTGAAGGTCGGGCAGTAACAAAACACGATAACTCTTTGAATTAAAGGGTTGAAGGTGGTAACGACATAAGCCACAGCGAGCGGCCCGCTATTCGCAATAGTTAATACCTCAATTTGGGGGAAAGTGTAGATTATCTTGTTACTATATATGTCCTGTTCATACAAAGGGCTTGGAACTGTACGTGAATATGATATTTATTGACATTGTGACATTTATATCATATATAGTAGAGTTCTATAAATTCAGAAATTGACAACTGGGGGCAAAATCTTTGTATGCGTTACAGATGTTTTGTTCCAAATGTATTGTGTTATATTATTTAAGATACAAAAACGAAAACTGGCACAAGCAATTAGATTAGAATTACTGGAGAGAGAGAGAGTGAATGAGTGAGAGTGAAAGAGAGAGTGAATGAGAGAGGGAGAGAAAGAAAAGAGGAGAAGTGTTGCAAAACAATAGTAATTACGTGCACTGGAGAGCAACGGCTGCCTTCTCTATGTATATCTACAGGTATAACTATACTCATATATGCATAACAATCGATTTTGTTCATCTAAATACTATGCAAAGTAATATAAAATATACTACGCGCTATTGCATATAAAGCTCACTTAAAAATTAACTTGTGTTAAACATTTTGACTGCATACAAATTCCGGCTTTACAAATAACATTCTTCGAGATCAAAAAGATGAAGCATTGAAAAATTAAAATGTATAATTTTCACATTTGACGGGTGCCTCTGCGTAACAGCTCTTGTCCCACATTTAAGGCGGCCCCCACAGTCCTCATTCGGCGAGCAACAACTCGCTCAAGCCCAGCAGTCGAGGTGCTCGGCATATGTTTGCTTCCTTCAATGTGACCGAAGGAAAAATCGCTGCGGGTGGGGAAGCGCTAAATGTTTGGCGCTCGACAAAAGACAACATCAAAACAACAAAGAACACACTACTCGAGATTCGGAGAGCTATGCGCCCTGAACCAAATGTGTGGAGACGCCTTTATATTCACCCGACGGCTTCAGGTGGCGGTCACATGAGAGCCGATTTTGACCGAAATTTCGATCCGCTGACGCCGAACGTTTTCGTTCGATGTGCCAGAATTGTTGACAAATGTGAGGATAAACGGAAACGACCGTATTGAACCTGAATAACCTCTGCGTAGGGCGCCCGAAAACACGTCTGTCGGCCGACGGTCCATTTCGTTTGGTATTGCCGGTCCGCCGACGCACGATCCCGACATTGCGTGCAAACCCCTTGGAGGGATGTACGCACCGGCGGCGAGCAGCGTGCAGCGCGCGGGGCAGGCGGCCTGCGTGGAGACGACGCCCACGAGCGGGAAGCCGCCCACCAGCCCCGCGCCCTCGCCCGCCATGAAGGCCAGCTCCTCCGACACGCGCGGCGCCTCCAGCAGCTGCTGCAGCTTGGCGCCGTCCGCCGGCGCCGCCACGCCCTGCAGTCGCCGCAGCACCGGCGCCGCCAGGCTCAGCACCTGCGCCGCACCACGCGCGCTCTTCACGCTCCTGCAGCCACGGAGGCGGTTCAACAGTTAGCGAACCGGTTCAATCCAGATCGAAGCCGAGGGTTTTTAAGGGCGAGAAAATCCTTCGCACACCTTCCTTCGGAGGGGAAGTAAAGCCGGCTGTCCCATGTTAGTAGATTTACTTGTATGTAAAATACTCTCAAGCCTAAATGAGCTAAATTCAAATCGCCTGTTTCGTCGCCCAAGAAGCAGTCATCCTTTCTCCGCTAGTGGGTGAAAGGACCATAGCGAAATTTGCATGGTTAGACGGAAGAGCGGGCCTGATGGCCTAAGTCTCGCTTCAATTTAATCCAATAGTTCCATTGCGTAGAGAGATTGATTCTTTTACCCTTACACTAAAACATCCCTATTACTCCAGACGGTAGATACCGAAAAGGGGGTTACTGTTGTATATCAATCTACAGCATTTTTGTCCTATTCTGTTTAGGGCGGAACTTTGGTTAGTGTTACGTTTAGAAGAAGAATATTCAAAAGAGGGAAATTTTATTTTCCTTTAAAATTATGTTTACTGACTTTTCACAGTTTGCTGCATTGTCCATCACGACCACTGTGCCAGCTCACGTGGTTTGTGCATTGCGGGTTGCATAAGGATTTATTTGTAAATATCTCTCCTTTCCCACACACTATTCTTGAGGTGTTTTATTTATTCATTTTTTCATTTATACATTTATTTATTTATTAACAGACAAATACGTAATATAATACAAGTATGTACATTATTATTCCGCTGAGGAATTAATCCAGTGCGCGGGCCTGTTATCAATAATTTCTTTTACCAGAGCTACAGTTTTTTTCAAGAGCAAGAATAAAAAAAAATAATCGTAAAATATAATTAATAAAGAAAGAAAAGAAGAACAAAGCATATATTACAAAAGAAAAAGAAAATTCGAAGTACAGAAAGTAAAAAAAGAAGAATCACAATATAGTTTAATTTCATAATTCCCATTGAAAAACTGAAGAAACTGTCTCATCGCTAAGCTCAATTATAAAGTTTCTAAGCAATTTCTTTGAATTTTTACGCAGTTTATCGTAGCTGGTATTTTTGAGTTCACTACTCAGTAAATTAAAAATCCTATAACTAATATAATTATGGTTACGTCGACTGATTTCTTTCACAATTTTCGGCGATACTAATAACTTGTTTCTCTGTATAATTTTTCATGGTGATATATATTTCTGTTTAAGATAGTCAAAATTATTCAAAAGAGATTTTTTTAAGAAAAATTTTCTTATAGAGACAAGTCTATACGTTTTAAAAAGTAATTCAGAGGGATAAAACGTTTTAAAAAGTAATTCAGTTTGGTTTTTCTATAAACGATTTTAAGTATTCTCTTTTGAACATCTTGTAGCATTTTAATTGCGTTATAATACGCACCACCCCATGTTATAATTCCATAAGTCGCAATATTCCAAAATAACGCATAATACATTATTAACTATTGTTTTTCGCTAAAAATACTCCGCAATTTATAAAACACATAAATTAAATAAAGGACTTTATTTGTGACTTGTGTGATATGTTGTTTCCACTCAAATTTGAGTCAACACATATTCCAAGATATTTGGCTGAATTCACTCGTGTCAGAAATGAACAATCACACATATCACTATTAATATCACACGAACTAGTATGTAACTGTAGCTCAAAATTTGAAGGTATGCTGTCAACATAAATACCATAGGTTATGAAAACAGTTTTTTGTATATTTAAGGTTAGGAAATTTACACTCAACCATTTCGCAATTAGACTCAGTTTAGCTTGTGCTAAATCCTTTACTTCAGACCAAGTTTTAGCTTTAACAATTAGCGTAGTGTCATCAGTGAAAGATTATTATTATATTATTTATTATTTTTCTCATTGATACCCCTGAGGAATTATGTAAATCATGTTTTTTAAATGGCATTGTTTCTGCGATGAGTGAAATTGGAACACGAAAACACACATTCACACAACCATCATACATGTCAATATTTTCGACAATTAGTACATATGCGAGGCGATGTTTTCACTAATGGTGAGATCAATAAGTTTTATATGTAATTATAATTAATTTATTATAGGTATTTAGTACATCACAAACATGTGTATTTTTGCACATATTTTTGAGGTTGTTTTTTTAAGTTGTACGTAACTTGCTAGGTAACTGGAAACTTTAGAAAGGAATGTTTCGTACTTAGTTTCACGTTTTTTCGGGCGTCCTGGAGTTAACACAGGGCCGAGGAGGTCGAAAACTTAGGGTTTTAACTAGTAGTTGGGTACATACAACATATTCAAAGACAACGTTTTTATGACTTTTTTCAAGTAAAATTTATATACCGACTGGTTATATAGTGTAGTATAATAACTGCAAGTGCCTGTCCATTCGTCCGTGGGTCCTCACTCACGGTTATACCACTTGCCGTGCATCAGTCACAACACATTGGACGCGCCTCAGACTCCTAATGAGGAACCGATGTACTGATTTTTTGGATCCAGCCAGAACATTCTAAGAAACTTCCAAAAACGTGTTTTTTGCGAGTTTAGCGCTGCGGTCTTAGCGGGTAGACAGGGAACTCTATCTAAATGGATCCTTGTAGGTGACCATTAAGCCGTGAGAGATGAATGTAACCCGTTTCGAATAGCGCTCATGCATCAACATGTGGCAAGTGCGGTAATTGAGCAGCTGCCGAATCGGTTCTGTATAACATGTATGTAATGCCTTTGGAATGTGGTAAGCACGAGTATGCTAAAATGCTTTGGAACGTGAAACCAGCACTGTCATTTCAAACACCTTAATAAATATGAGAAACACAATATTAGCATATCATTGAATGTCCATGCATTTAGCTCATATCGTTTCCTTTCATGTGCATAGTACACATTTTACACCCGTGCTTGTATTCTTACGAAAAAAATAGCTGTCCTGACTTATGACCAACCCTCGTTCTTAATGTTTCCGTACTTTTAGTCCGTACTATTTTGAGTATTTAACTAAAACCAACGTTGCCAGATGTTGGTCCATGTTTCTTCTCTTCATTCGTTGTGTGTGGACGTGCCAATGAAGTTTCCGCACACTTATGTAACTGTTTCGAGCTCGTAGTAGTATCGTCTGATATGTCTTTCTCCATAATTGAACCAACGAAATGCCAATTGATTCGCCCTTGACATAAATACCAATCTTCAGTAGCGCAGCTGTGTCTGACAGCCATTTCTGACGCTACTTTCAAGAATCTTTAGAAGCACGAACGAATGGACCAACTTCATATGCTCTCTTTACTGCTATTGAAATACCAAACTGTATAATAGAGGTATATCTTACATTATCATGTAAGCCGTTCGTATTATTATTATTATTATTATTATTATTATTATTATTATTATTATTATTATTATTATTATTAATAGTATGTTAATCCTTCACGTTTTTCTTTCATCTTCAATTATAAATTTGTCTTGACGTAGCTTCGCCGTTAACACGATTGTTTTCAATATGAGTCGTTAGTGGTATTGTCGTATTAAGATTTTTAATCGTAATTCAAGCATGACTTGATATTATAACACAGACACGCATACTTGAAACTGCATGATGCAGTGAATGAATCCAATGGTCTCTGCACATCACAAACTTCAGTGACTGAATTTAGCTCAATAAATTTGTAATATATGACGTACAAATTCGAAAAAATGTAGTAATATGAGGTAGCAGTAATGCGGTATGGTGCAACGATTTTAAAGAACAACTGGACTTCTTAGGCTAGTGGTAAGTTACGTAGGAAAAAATAGGTGACTTGTAACATTTAAATATACAGAACATATATCAGCGTGTATTGCACGGTAACATTTCGAAAACGCATTTCAATCAACTCTCTTGTAGTTTGACTGCTGTTAAACAGAAAAATATTAATTTTCCAATCTGTCAATTTTATTATATTGTATCTTCATGTCGCAATGTTTCGCAATGAAAGAGAGCAGAGGCGCACCCAGGATTTCTCTCGGGGGGGATATCATAATTAATCATTCAAAACGATCTAGTCGAGTTAGGCTGAAAAGCGAAATAAGTTAAACATTTGAACAATGATTTTGGTCCGAAATATGTTTACAATTATATCCTAAGCTACTGTACCATAAAAAACATGTTTTTTACATTGCAATTTTGTATTTTTTATTCAATGTTTAAGAATAGACTCATGACCATAATGAAGAGTCGTGAGAAAATATCGTACATTTTGCAATGAGGAAGAATTGTAGCTATACGCAAAACAATTTGCTACTACATAAATTGGAAAATGGGAAACTTTCAAGACATTAGTAATGACTTATTACGGGAAATTAACTTTTAAAATACTCCTCTAACTCCTTCTAAAAGAGGATTTTAGTATGACGTTTCCTTCTCGATTTTCCTGTCGTCAAATTAGTGAACATCGTCCTGAAAAGCCCAGGTGTTACACGTGTATTGTGTGCCAATCCAACGCCTCAGTAAAAAAGTTAGTGGGTTCGAATCCCGCTCTATGCTTGTCTCTTATTCGTGTGTACTGCAGAGGGTGCGAGCTCTGTTAACGATCCGACGAATCCACGTGCGTGTCTATTGGATGTTTGGAGATATATCTTATCGTTTCCTAAACGTAATATATTGTCATCATTATCTTCCTTCATTAGGCCCATTGCCTGTTGCAGCCTCTAATTCTTGGCCTTCCAATGTTTATCTTTCCTCTGAGCTTACAATTCAGTGCTTGCACGGAAAGTCTGTCTTTCGACATACTTCCAATATGGTGCTGTCTCTACTTCTTAATTTCTTTCCGCCCTTGTTCCTCTCTTATTTTCTCACTTTTTATTTGGTCTATTTATGTTTAGCCACTTACTCCTCTCAACAACCTCATTTCTGCATATATATTACTTCAATATATAGTTACTCAGAGCAATGTAGCAAGGAATTCTAAGTAACAGTTTGCTTGTTATTAGAATAAAAATCTACGATCTAAAAAAGTATGAGTTTATATAAATAAGTAATAAATAAATAAATAAGTAAATAAATAAAAGGCATTGGCAACATTATTTATTGCGTAACAGAAGTCGATGTCTGCGTCTTTCGGAAACAAAGTTCAGTTTACTAAAAGTAAGAAAACTATTTCCCTTATTCTTTTTTTGGCTTAACAGCAGGTAACTGATGACCTGTTATTACAATGTACAATTTTGTTGGCCCAGGCAACGCCGTTTATTTCGGCCGTTTATGCCGGCATTCAATTTACAATGCCGACAACAACAGATCGCCTATAAATCAAAATTATCCACGCAGGTGAGAATGGCGACTGAGTGGGTGGTTGTGGTTTTTGGTGGATACTTGCCAAATGTCCACCCGGACCACGGGCTTTGGTTTGAATTGAAGTGATGCCTCATTTTACGTGGTGAGACTCGGGCCATCAGGCCTGCTCTTCCGTCTGACCACGCAATTTTCGCTACGCTCCTTTCACCAACTAGCGGAAAAAGGAGGTATTTCTTGGGCGACGAAACAGGCGATTTGAAATTAGCTCACAGGCTTCATTAATTTATCATCATCATAAATCTACTAACATGAGACAGCCGGCTTCATTTCCCCTCCCAAGGAAAAATTGTCTGACCTTTAAGGGGGAGATCTACGGCTTCGATCGGGTTTGAACTCGAACTTTCGTATAACAGTCCGATACGCTAACCGTTCCACCATCGCCGCCACCAAAGCTTCACGGCGGGACTCACGTCGTTAGTCTCAACGTGGAGGCAGTGAGTAGGTGGTTTGGCACCGAATTGGGCATGGGGTTCGTCAGCCAGCATCCTCTGTGCAGCAGAGTAACGGACCTCAAACCCACATATAAAAGTCCAGAAGGCATGCACGAACGTCCAGGTTCCGGCGGCACTCACGTCGATAGCTTCAAGGTGAAGTCAGTGAGGAGACGGGTTAGGGGCCCCGAGCCCCCTGGGTCTTGACCCGGGATCCACCAGTTGGGCACTTAGGTTTGTCGTGGCAGTGGCCCGAAACCCCGGCAGAGAGGAGGGACTTAATCCGGCGCTTGCGGGCGGCACATTGATTAGACTCCGGCACTTTTTTATTAGTATTGTGATAATTTCTATTAAACGCATTGCTTTATATTTAAAGTAGTTGAATTGGAGTGTCGGGGCGTGTAGTGAAGTTAAGTACAAAAGAGAAGTAAAAAGAGGGCAAAGTGCAAGTGTAGTGAAGTGAAGTTAAGTGTATTAATTAAAATATCTTTGCAGGACTGTCATGAAATGTAGAGTTATTGCTGTTATTGTTATTGTCTTTGTTTTTATATTATTAATATTAGTCTTAAAATGTTTTAAAATTACATTGTATCAATATTCCTAACTGTAATACGTAAATTGTCGTGTTCTGCCTATATAAATAATCTATAAACCTACCTAAATAAATCTATTTATCTATCTATAATAGATTTGCTAACTTCGGCGGATGTAACAGGAGTTTCGTGGTGAGTTTTGCACCTGAATAAGGTCTTGTAGATGAAGACAGGAAGAGCGACGTAGCCTCACCTCGGCGTCGGAAGCCTCCGCGAGGAGGTCGTCGGCGAAGGCGACGGCGGCGGAGGCGTCGCCGGCCACGCGCTCCAGGCGCCGCGCCTGCGCCCGCACCGCCGCCAGCTTGGCGTCGGCGGCGTCGCGCGCCTGGCGCCGCAGCGCGCGCCGGTGCTGCTCGAGGGCGGCGGCGTACGCCTCCGCGAAGCGGTCCACCTCCGCCTGCACCTGCGAGCAGCGCGCCTGCCCCGGGTTCAGCCTCTCCGCTCTTAACCGGCATCAACACAGTCAAGCCTTCGCTCTCTAGATCGAGCACTTGCTTCAAAATGGTGTGTTGATAACAGATACAGCGGACTAAACAAAATTACAAATAAAGCGAAGTCTCGTGATGAAGACTATTAGAATCTTTACCGATTCGAAAAGGACAATGTGTGGCTGGAACGGTTTTTATTGGTGTTTGCTTTCAAGCACGTTTTCGTATTGCACATCTTGTATGTTAATTGGCCATCGCTCTTTTCTACTCGGAATTTTTCGGGGTACTGTTTTCTATTTTTCTTATTTTTTTCTCTTTTTTTCCTCTCCCAAACTTTGTAATGTTTCCTTTCGGCCATAGCGTGCCTCCGGAAGACGGCTCTTTTCAAAATAATTTTATGTTCGCTTAGCTCTTCGGCAAACACGAGCTAGGCCTCTGGCGCTTCGTATTCTTCGTTACTGCTACTCATATTATAATTTAAAGAACAAGACAACAAAACATTGCTCTTTGCTCCGCACAAATGTGCGCGACGTGCACTACGTATGTAACCTCTTTGTTACTCAAGAAACAATTTTTTAAAACTCTTAACCTGCACTATCACTTGTTCACAACGAGAAAATGCTCGCGAGTCATGAGTAAGTTCTTCGGAAACATACGAAGTTTGTATTCATACGAAATGGAGCTTCTGCTCAGTACCGCGGAGTAGACTCCTTTACTCCGGAGCAAGAACTCATTTTTATTCACAAGACCAAATAACATGAGCCCTCACAACGAGAACGAGAAGAAGGAAAAGAAGGAGAAAAAGAACATCCCAGGGAAGAAAAAATAGGATTAGGGAGAAGGTAATAGTAAAAGAAATTAAGAAAGGGATGGGTAAGAAGAAATAACCCTTCAATTATCACAATACAGTATTTTGTATGCACTTAACGAAATTCGTTTTCGCACCTTCTTTCTGTTTTTGAAGTCTCCGTATACCGAGGCACTGATAGCTAGTAATAAATATTGTTAATATTGAGATTTTTTTTATATCGAGGCTGAGGTTAGACACCTGCTTTGAGTCTTTACGAAGAATATAATAACATTAGCGTTTCCTTTGGAAGCGCAAAACAAAGCATTTTTCCAGCACTCCCAGAAAGCGATTAAATAAATCGAGAAAAACAATCAGGATGAAGATGAGACAATAAAAAAAATATATTAATTGTATACAGTTACTGTACAATACAATGATAATGAAAAATAAAACTTCGAAAGACAGATATTAGAGTAAAGTTTCCAGTCACATGTATTATTACTTAATTAAATACCTTTTATTTAAAATTGTAAACAATCGGTTTATGATTATTCATAAATAAACTGTTAGTTTGTAAGGTGAGTATAAGTTTTAACTAAAATACTGTAATGAATAATATGTTAAATCGGTTCATGGGATTGGTCAATATGGATAAAGAAACTTTTCGAAATATTTAATTTCTTCATCGAGGCTTATTAAGGCCCAGCCCCCACACCAGTTGCTAAAGAGTTGCGGAAGAACGAGAAAGCACTTCATATTTTTCCAAAACGGTTTTTTTGAAAAAAAAAAAAAATGGGGTGGGAAAAAAAAAAAAACCCTTTATTTCCTTTTAAAAAAGAAAATGTTTTTTTTTTTTTTTTGGGGGAATTTGGGGGCAAAAAAAAAAAAAAAAAAAGAACAAATTTTCAAATTAAAAATTAAACCCAATTTTTTAATCTTCAAAACAAAAAAATGTAAAAAGTTTTTTTTTTTTGTGTGTAAAGAAAAACGTCCCGAAAAATTTTAAAACTTTTTTTTCAATTTTCCCCGGAAAAATCAGGAATTTTCCAAACGATCAGAAGATTTCCCACAATTAAAAATTTGTAAAAAAAAAAAAAATAAGTTTAAAAAAAAACATGTTTGAAATATTTGAAACCATGTAATTTCGCAAATAAGCTGAAAATGGTTTTTTCAAGGTCCAGGTCCCAGGGAATTTCAGAAAACCAGATCCTGAATTCCTAATTTTAATTTTAATCCCAACCTATGAATATAGTATAACATCAAACACCACACCACAACACACATATATATACATATATTACATACACATTATACAATACATTATATACAAATTTATATATATATATATACATATATATATATATTACATATATTCTAAAATACCCACCTTACACCCACCAACTACCACCTCACAGTAAAGCAGGCATGAAACGTAAAGCAGGTTTTGTCCAAGAATTTTTGCTCGTGAAGCGAAGCTTTAAAAAAATCTAGGAGCATCTTCAGGGTGCGAGAAAGGTTTGAACCCTTGACCACAATAAAAATCAACACAGATTGCACACAAACGAGAACGTATAATTTACCAATGAACTTTTAATGCATAAGTTAATGACAGAACCAAGAGATATAGAATTCACACTCTTAAAAGAATAATCAAAAACACAGATAGAACCTTTACAGACACACACTCCATATGAACAACATAATTACTTGAGATTGATACTCAGAAATAATTACCCTAACTACACTGGAAATTCCCTTGGAAAATTAAATTAATATATATCTCACAATTTTGTGCTATTCTAATTACCATTGACACTGAAATCAAAAATTCAATTTACAATCTCTCGCTCAAAATTAACACTGTAATAAACAGAAGTGTGCAAAGTGCCACTACTCTAATTTCTACAATTTAACTGTTCTTGAAAAATAGCGAAATAATAAATGTTCCTAAGTAGAAGTTTTTAGCCAGGCAAATCAAGAATTGGCACTGCGCCATTTTTGCAATGTTAGCCTCTTAAAATTGAAATTCCAATCATTTTTCTACAATCTTAAGGTAAATAGTTATAGAGAAAAATACCCATTATTTAACTTTTTCGAGGTTCTCTTCGATCATAACTTTCATTGCCTGTAAAAGTAAAATTCATATTTAACTTCACTTCTTTGGCGCCAAAATCATAAGACATCTATAACCACATACGTCCTATTCTTCATGAAATGCGATAGTCGCCATCAGCTGGGTACCACGTATAATTGTATGATTGTTGATGATACTAGACTAAGATTTTGATTCTCTGTGGTGGTTGAATACTCTTATATCCTGTTCTGCGGGCCTGTCGGAGTTAATACTCTATGCTCGGTAAAGTGTTTATTGTGTCCGATTAATGGTGTAACGTTAAAAATTGAAAAGCGTGTCAGAGCAAAGCAAATTTTTATTGTTGAGGAAGATTTCCATTATCACACAAAATATTTTATGCTATAAAAGTGAAAAGAGAAATGTAGTGAAGTATGCCTTTTGTGTGACGTCAAGTGATGGCAATGATTGAGACAGTTGCAGATACAAAGTTTTAATTTACCAAGAAAAATTAATTTTCTGCTGGCACACTGTTTCTAACAATTAGAGATAGCACCGAGCATCCAAAAGAAGTGTAATATAATTAAAACGACCTTTAGTGTATATTTACGCATTTGAATTCTATATTTCTAACAACTTAACAAGTATTTTACTTCAGCTTGTGGGTTCAATGACCGCCATCGGAATTAGGTTTTCGTCGCCGTGTCACTGATCCTTGAAGCAGAATGGTTGAATAGTTCGCTTGTTTTCTTGTGAACATAACTGATAAAACTTCATTCTAACTTCTCTCCATATCATGTCACACACAGATTTTTAAGTGTTTTCAACGTAAATCAACAAACAATATATGAATTAATAAATAATGAATAAATAATAAATAAATAATGAATACATAATGAATGATCGACTGAGATGAATGGATGAAATGGAGAAATGGACAAATGGAGAACATGAATAAATAGAAAAATGGAGCAATGGAGAAACGAATAAGATGAAATAAATGGAAATAATGAATAAGATGAATAAATGAATAAATGAATAAATGAATAAATGAATAAATGAATAACATGGAATAAATGAATATAATGAATAAATGAAGTAAATGAATTAAATGAATAAATGAATAAAATGAATAAATGAATAAATGAATAAATGAAATAAAATGAATAAATGAATAACATGAATAAATGAATAAATAATAAATGAATAAATGAATAATGAATAAATGAATAAATTGGAATAAACGAAATAAAACGAAATAAACGAATAAAACGAATAAAGAAATAAACGAATAAACAATAAACGAAATTAAACGAATAAAACGAACTAAACGAAGAAACGAATAAACGAATAAACGTAATAAACGAGATAAACGAATACAAAACGAAAACGAATAAACGAATAAACGATAAACGAATAAACGAATAAGACGAATATAACGAATAAACGAATAACGAATAAACGATAAATAAACGAATAAATGAGTAGAATGAGTAAATAAATAAATAAATAAAGTATTTTATTTTGCGAGGGAGTAGTAAGTAATTTGTCTCTAGGAAAAAAAAATACATAATTAAAACATTTTTGTATGGAGTTGTTGTGTTATGGCCCCGCTTACTGTCGTGCGCACGGGTGGCGCTGCTCCGAGTTGCCTGCTCAACCTGTGCGACCGCGCCGGGTGGCGCACGACCGCGGACGGGCGGTGGCGGCGCGGCGGCAGGGGCCGGGCGGGGCGGGCCGCCACGAGGTGCTCTCGCATGGCCCGAGGCGCGCCGGCGGGGCAATCACGCGCGTCGCAGACAGGTGAGCGCGCCGGGCGCTTGGGCGCAAAGCGCGTGCTGTGAGCCGCGCTTGACCTCGCGTGCGCGCCGCGCGCCGGCAGCTGAATGTGCGCCGCAGCACGCGCAGCAACGAGCTGCGCCTGTTCTGCGACGCCGTGCGCGGCGGCTGGCGTGCGGCCGAGTGTGTGCAGGGCGCAGGCGCGGCGCCCACGGCGCCACAAGCGTGCAGCCCGTGGCGCCGCGCCGCCGCGCCCCGCGCCCCGCGCCCTCAAGGAGGCGCTGGAGCGCGCGCGCGCCCGCGGCGGAGCCGGCGCCGCCGTGCCTCGCCGCCCTGGCAGCAGGTCGCCCGCGCGCTCCAGGTTATC